GTGCTGATATATGACGTAATTAACAACACTTTGCAAAATATGAAAATGGAAAAACACAAACAGAGGCATAGAGACAATATAACCTTAAAATAAATAAATAAAAATTATGCAAATCTGATGCTAATTGAGAAAATACCTCTACTGATTTGGTTAATTTTCCATCAGTAATTATACAGGCAATCTCTAGTATCCGATCAACTTCAACATTTAAACCTGCATGACAGACGTAAAAGAGAAGATAAATTTGAAAATCTTCATGTCATCACATTTTAGGGCAAATTTACCATAGAAATTATTAATTGGTCTGTAAACAGACAACATAAGAATAGGTAATTTTGATTTAAGTACAGGTTTAGCATTACATATTATATGTGCCTCATTATTTTTGTTTTCAGATAGGAAACGGAATGAGTATAGCAATAAGTAAAAAAATCTGAAAACTACAATCATAGTCGACTACTAGTCCACAAATAAACAACTCTCAATCTAGGACGAACATCCTTAAGCAGGAAAAAACAGTCAAAACGACTCCTATCCAAACAAAACAGAACAAGAACCAGTCAACTACAATCAGAAAACATAAGAAACAGCAGCATCCAATCCTAGAAGAAAGAAGGGGCAGTCAAAGAATGAAACAGAAACTGGTGCCCAAAGCAAAGCCATTAATCTAGCCTTATCCCATAGGCAATAGACAGACTCCCCATCCTTCCCCTAAATATTAAGTTGCTCCTCTCAGTCCATATCGGCAAAATTATGGGTAACACGCCACATGTCGGGAGCACCACAAATAAGGCATTACATGAGAAGGGCAGCATCCAAGTCAATCTCAAAGCCACTGGGCAATGAAGAAAGAGATGATCAATGCTCTCTGAAACTCCTTTCCACCTAGTAAACCAGTGAGGGGATAAATGAAAATATGGCCAGGAACTTTGGTCTTCCAAATAATAGGGGATGGCCTAAACATTGGAGCAGTGTGATTGATTATCAATGTATTGAAAAAGGACTTGCAGTAGAGAATACCTATGACTCAAGACAAAAAGCCCTTCTGTCAAGTCTAGACTGACAAGGATGTTCTCAATCAAGAAGCACAGGTACAAAGCTCTACAAAGTCCGGATATCTCAAACGTGGAAAGATGGAAGAGGGAAAAAAACATACTAGCAACGTTATGTGGCAAAGAGATTCTATAGAGATGGGAGAAGATTAGAGGAGAATGTTGTGTAGATTCAGCTGCATCAAAATGGATTGAGTTGCATCCTCAACTTGTGATACTCGCAAGTGCACGAACCGTTGGTAGTTTAGCGTATGTAAGTGCGAGGTCGATTCCACAGGGATTGGTGATTGAATGATCCAATTTAGTTTCCCTACACAAAACAGAAATGAAAAAGAAAGGAAATAAATAAAACAAGGAAGAAAGAAA